TCGAAAGATTCGAGATTCTCGATGGATTCAACTTTCTCGAGTATGTCGCTTTTTTTAAAAATTCAATTACCGTTTCGAGACTCGTTTTCATAAAGTCATTTCAATAAACTCTCGAATTTTCGATTTTTCATGCCTTTTCGAAAACTACAGTATAAAATTTTAATTTTATTTTATATTTTTCCTTAATTTATTTTTATGTGATGAGTTTATTAATATTTATAATATTATTAAAATAAAATGGTGAAATGACATAGGCTTATAAAATTATTTACAACTATTAATAAATATTTACAAAAAAATTAAGTAAAAACATAAAAGGCTATTAAGAGTCAACGCTGTTAACAGTGCGCAAAATATATAATCTTAAAATCTAAAACATATAGTTATTATGTCGAACGTTTCGATCCTTAGTTTCGGACTTTCGGATCATCATCAGTAGAGACCCTCTAATCAGAGTCGCGAAATAACGTTTCCAATTTTGATTGACATTTTTCAGCAAAAACCGGAAATAGTCATGGCGTCAAATTTAAGTCGACCTACATTCACTGCCCATTTTGTTCTTTTTCAGGATTACGAGGAAAGACTTTTATAATATAACCCTTTTTTGCAGAATTGTTGCAGTCTGGCGCAAAACAACCAGTCATTTTAAAAAATATAATTTTATTAAATACAGTATTAATATAAAATATATAGTATATAATGTAATTTCTTACTGATAACTGTATTTATATTCACATGTATTAGGTGTTAATGTATCACAATCATAGTCTTTTCATTGCAACTGCGATGGTGCTCGTACGTGCAGTAGTATTATATTTAATTGCTACTTCCGGTTTTTGTTGAAAAATGGTATCGCCGACCTAACCTTATTGACGTTATTTCGCGACTCTGATTAGAGGGTCTCTAATCATCAGCGATAAATACAATCTAAAAATTAAAAAATACTCAAAAGTTGCAAACAATAATGTCCCGCAGTATGTAATACAACCAATCTGAGGCAAGACTATCACTTCTTCAAGTTAATAAATATTATTTACTACCATTATCCATTTGACACATTATTTCATTATTTCCATTCCATCTACCAAATTTTATAAGCTTATTATGTCATTTTTCACCATTTTATATTAATAATATCAAGCGACGCGGTAGCGTCGCGACGCCAAGTGCATAAAATAAAAATATAACCGTTTGACATGATGACATGATACTTGATGCGTGTATATGTTCATGTCGATGTCAAATTCACGACGCTACCACTAGCTTTATCTCGAGTTTTCACATCTTGAAACTTTAGATTAAAATTACTCAGAATTTAAAAGCACAATCAAAAATCTAAAAACACTTTTATTATATAATGTCATCGGTATCTTTCGATTGCGACCAGTCCGAATAAAATTGGTGCAGCCGATACCGAGATCTAGAGACCGAGTCCCGAAAGGGTACGTTTCAGTTATGTTCAGACGTACATGTGACACATT